ATGGGTACAACCACATGAGAAGACATTTTTTGGTCTTCTTGTCGGAACAGATATTGTGCAAAAGACTGAGATCAGCAGCAGCTTTCTTCCCTACTTTATTTTAATTATTGCCATATAAGAATTTGCCCATATTTTCCAGATGGTGACACTGTTTCACTACTGTCTCAGCAAAACTCAGAGTAGGGCGCTGCATTCAGACAGAGATGTATAGAACTAACTGAATAATGTTTATAACAAGAAGACAGTTTGACAAATAGGTGCCCGATTTTTAAACTGTCCATTATTATAGGAAAACAGCTGCCAAAGTATCCTAATCACAAAGCAATAAATAATCCAGATCTCTTTTGGAAGACTGTTGATCTGGAGGAAGCAGAAAGATGCTACCTGTTCCTGTCAGATTTGAAGAGATATTCAGAAGCATAATCAAACTGACCTAAATAAAAACCAAGTCTTGAGCATGACTTATAGTTCATTGAGCTTGACTTGTCACTCATGACTTGAGAGTCACGAAGAGATGTTTTTGCTTTAGGAATAAAAACTAAATAAAAACGAAACATTTTCTTTTTCAGTTCCCCTGTAACAATCTGAAGTGAACCGACATCCTCATTTTTCACAGATGGTTAATTCTGTTATTTATATTTCTGTCCTCCAGTGAGTGATTCTTGACATATTCTCAGGCCTGTCATACAGATCAGAAAGAAGGCCACAAACTGGGTTCCTTCTACTTAAGAGCAAAGCCCAATTTTTAATTTAAAATTTAATAGTAAAACAAAGAACCATCTTTCCTTGGCGTCTATGTGGTTGAAGAGGAGACAGTGAAGCATTCTTCAGCTTTTTGCCCAGGCTTTGCTTTTAATTAGGCAAATTGAGTTGCATCTGTGTTCAATTTTTGTATTTTAATGTTAGCTATTTTAAGTACAACATGAGTGGGTTTGTTCTTTCCATTTCTCAAATACCACTTAATATTTAGAAAGATATTTTAAAACACTGGAGACTAATATAATAAGCCCCAGATTTGCAGTTTTATAGCCCTACAAATACACATTTTATTTGCTCAGAATTAAAGTCCCTTTTGCATCCAAGGATACTTAACTTTATCTCAATTTAAACCTGAAGGTGCATCCTTTACAGTGCTGATTCACAACTCAGGGTATGCATGGAAGAAAATCAGTAGACAAGGCAGTAACAAATATTTGTGTGGTAGGCTAGATCATAGTCTTTCAAGGTTTAGAAAGAAATGGCAATTAATAGCAGTAGCACTTAGACTTATATACCGCTTCACAGTACTTTACAACCCTCTCTAAGTAGTTTACAGAGTCAGCGTATTGCCTCCAACAATCTGGGTCCTCGTTTTACCAGCCTCAGAAGGATGAAAGGCTGAATCAACTTTGAGCTGGTCAGAATTGAATTCCTGGCAGTGAGCAGTGAGTTAGCCTGCAATACTGCATTCTAACCACTGTGCCACCACAGCTCCTCAAGTAATGCTTCTGTAGCACCTCCAAAGAATGGGAAGATATATTTCTGAAAAAATTTGGATTCTAAAAATATTACCTAAGCATATTTCTAAACAAATTATATCAGTATTTTTGTGAAGATAACCAGCAACATTGAAGCTTTTCTTAGGATGTTAGTATAACATTTTTTACTCCTGAATTATTCTTCTCCAGTATGCCACAATTCCTAGGTATGGCTTGATAGATAAGAATCCATAGTCACTGTGTGCAAGGAGATGTACCAACATTTGAGAATAAATGCTTGGTTCTGTCTTTCTCAAGAGACTTGTCATTCACAAAATGGTATGCATCTATTGGTTCTGAGAATATGGTTACAGAAAATGCAGCTACCAACTAATGAGGAAGGATTTGGCTTTCTCAATGTCATCTTGCTTACTTATTGTGAAGTATTAAATACTGGGGACCAATAATTTGTGCCCAACTTCCCCAACTTCCATTTTGGAGAAAATATGGTGACATGGAACATGGAAAAATTAGATACAAGTGTGGATATTGACTTTGGACGAACTGATAGATGATGAAGATGAATGTTTAACATATGCCGTGTTAAGAAATATCATCTATCAGATGTAACCCTGTGGTAATATTTAGAGCTACAACATTTGTTCATAACATTATTTGAACCAGCAGAATTTTCACCTTTGTAGATACACAAGATACTAGAACAACTTGATAATCCTTTAAAACTAAAAAACAAAACAAAAAACCCTTAGTCTGTATGTGTAATCAATAAACCAATTTAATACATATTAAGACATGAATGGAATAAGGAACTAGAGGTTCCTCTTTTGCTTGTGGGAGAGTGTCTTAACTTCTATAGCAATTTAGTGGACCTTAAATTATGACTGGTACAACACAAAATACTATTTAGGATTGATTGGTCCTCACTACTTTTGTATAGAAAAGGTCTTTTTTATGGTTGAAGATGTAATAAGGATAATTCTTCTTTAAAAACATGTTTTTACAATATGCTATACTTACTAAATTCTCAGAGAAAATAGTGAATTATATAACAGTGGGACAAAAATTAAGTTTTTCAGAGGAAAATATTATTTTGAATTATATACATATGAGAAAGAAACTGAGAACTGGACAATGCAAATGGATTATTTGAGCTGTTACTATAGCTAAAAGACTGGTTTTGGAGCTTTGGAAAAATAAATGTATGGTCCCTTTCACTCAATGGATTGAGGACCTGATTTTACCTGCCACCTATGAGCGGATTAACTATAGATATAAACTTTGTATGGACAACTATAATAAAATATGGAATTCATTTATGCAAAATATAGTAAGTTAAAGAGGAATGATAATTATATGCATATATTAGAAATAAGTATATATGTACTTTAATATTTATTATAAATAAAAGAAAATTATAATTATAATATTGTAACAATATAGAATTGTTTATTTTTTTGTGTTCTGTTGTATTTTTTCATTTTTTTCACACAAGTAGTCAGAAATGGACTCCACTAAAAAAAAAATCAAGCATGAAAAAGAGGAAAAATATGTTAAATACCAAGGTTTCCCAATATTTTCTGTTCATGGAATCTGTTTCTTCGAAATAAAGCCTGCAGAACCAGTGTTCAAGAGGCAAAACTCTAGTAATGAAAAATTGGCTGCATTTTGAGTTAATGTTTTTTTTAAAAAAATTGTTTAGCCCTTAGTGCCTTGTGGAACTTCATCAAGTTCTTGTGGGTTCTGTGGGAAACAATTCGAAAAATCCTGTTAAGTAGGATCTTTTCTTGAAAAACTGCATTTCTGAGCAAATGTATCTTATTACTTCTGATGATGGATTTTATGAAATTGTAAAAGGAAACATAATCTCACATGAAAAGACATGTGGAATCTCAGTCTGAATCTATTTTCATGTCTTTGCCAAAGAAGGATGCCTTAGGAATGCTCAGGAATACTTGGTATAGAAAAATATCTACATTTTACTCACTGAGTGCGTACTACTGCATATGGTCAACAGCCCAAACAGAGTCAACAGAGTTACAAAGTCATACTCCTTGGTAAAGAGCCCAAATATTTTGATTTTAATAAATTATAAAATTAAAGGTTTGAATTTGTATATACATTTGAATAAACAATTCATGGGATGCATTGCAACTGACATTAAGCCATTTTATGTAACTGGCTGTATCTTTCAAAGACAGCTAATACTGTGCATTGTAGGTGAGTAAATAAAGTAGTAAATACATTGTACAACAAAAGTCAATGACAAAAATCCTTGAAAAAGATACTTCAAAAAAAAATACTTAGGTTTTTTTCAAAACTTTTCTGTGGACCAATTCACACAACTGTTGGCCATATTGCATCTGCAACTAAATGTTCTACTCAGACTGACTTTCTCTTCGTGGAAAATTGGTTGCATATGGTGGCAGTCAAAAGGTAGCTACAGCTTTTGTCTGGTCACAAAGATACTTCTGTAGGGTTTCCTGATGTGTATTGAGAATCAAGTATTTCATTTAATGAGAAACATTCATGACTGTTCCCACACTGAAAGGCACTACAAACAAGCCTTTTAAGTGCCTGTTGTAATGACGCTCAGGTTTTAAATTAATATGTTCAAATCTCCTCAGGAGGTCAGTCCGAAAATACTCTCACAGGTGAATCTGTATTGCAATTGTCCTTGCTAGTTTATTAATTACCAGTAATTATTAAATGGTGACAAAGGCTCTTTTCCAAATTACCATAGACAGGGAAAAATGATCAGTAATAATTTGGAGTGGTTGGGTATATGTTTTTAAATTAAGAACATATGAATAGAAGACATAAATACGAACCCCTCTAACTGAGATATGTAATGATTTACTGCATTTTCTCATGTTCTGCAAGGATAATCTCACCATCTTTATTCATTGGACATTCCTCATAATCCAACAAAGATGGTCTTTGTGCAGAAGCTGCTCTATAAATAAGCACCAAATATACATGCAGAAGCATGAGCAAGAGTGCAGCCATATTTACTTGAGTACCATTCAAATGATTAAATGTCTTTTGATATTTAAGAGAATGCATATCCAAATGCCAGGATGTGTGGCAAACGACTAGAATTGGAACATGACAAATAAACATTATAAAGGGCCATTATGTTGCTCAAATGTGGAATCAATCCTATGTTGTCTGTTAACTCCCTCAAGTTAATGACTTTCAGATTCTGCCTATATCCAGCATTCACTATTTTTTATCTCCACCTGTCTGACCTGGCTATCAGATGCCTCCAGACCGATCTTGTTCAATAGGCTATAACATGAATTCCTATATACAGGTGGTATGCTATACAAAAACTTTGGTCTGTTTAAGCAGACCTTAACCCTAACCAATCATTTTCTCTCAGCCTGGTCGTATTCACAACTTTATTATAGAGGGAATAAAATGGAGACTCCTGAGTAAGCGGCCTTCAGCTACTAGAAGAAAGGCAGAATATCAGCCAACCAAAGAAATAAAATAAAGAAACAAACAAAGAAACAAAAAGAGCAGATTTCAGTGATTATTTATTTAAAACCTGCAGTAATACAGGTGCTTCTTCAGTTAGATTTTGAGGGTAAGGACAGCAAAGGATTTCTTTTACATGCATTGCTCAGATAAAGACAACAAATATATCAGTTCAATCAACAGGGGAAGTGTCCAGGAATCCAGGAATGTAATGAAAGAATCATCAGTTGTTGAGAATAGCATGCAAACTATTTGCCTAGCCTTGGGTTTTCTCACCAACCATTGAGGTAAGCTGTTTTTAAACCTGCCACCAGTTTATGCTGATACCTACTCTCTAGCCATCAAGATGGCTTTAAATGTTTTTGCTTGCTTGCTTTTGTTTGCAGGTGAAAAGGTCTATAATCAAAGCAAAGCTATATTCACAAGCGCATTTACTAAAAAGAAAAAAATTCTGTGGGAGGGGGGATGTTACCCATGAATAAATGCAGCTCTCTCTTTAAACCAAGTGAGCGGTAACGTACCCGTGATGCTGCTGATATCCATGCATGCTTTCAGAAAGCGCTGTGCAAGAGGAAACCGGGACTCAAAGGGCTGACAAACAGAGGTTGTTAAAATCTAAGCAGATTCAGTATCGTTATGCATTTATATGCCTAATGACATCTGTTCCTTCTGCAACAATACAGTAGACCTAATTACCTGTTGATAGCACAAATTGTTCACTACCCCAGTGGATATGTGCAATATGTAGACAATAAACAAAAGCTACACTTTCTTCAAACAAAAAGCACCAACTGAAATAAAAAAGAAAATCCAGTCATTTAAATCATTAAGATTTGAATAAAAGCAATCATTTTACCACAAGCTTTTAAGAGTATGAAATGGGGGGGGGGCAGGGAGGGGGGGAATAGTGACATTAGGATTATTTAAGCTATCTTTCCAGTGAGTTAATGTATACAATTTAATTTCAAATAGTTTTTGAAAATGTGATTCATGGGGTCAGGAGGATTGCACATGTGATTCAAATAAATTCCAAATCATGGCCAAATCTGCGATTAAGGTCAAAGAAGATCCATGCAAGGAAACGTCGATTTGAGCAAGAGTGTTTATGAGTGCCTCATGTTGCTGGAGACAGAGGCTGTTTGCAAAATCTGTTTTGTTTCCATAACCACCAAATTGTGGAAGAGAAGGAAAGGAGAGCAGAGTCAAGAGACTGACCCATCACCCCTCTAATCACTGAATGACTTCATAAGGGGGACTTCCAAGTAGGAATCCTCGCCTACAGCACTTTGGAGACCACTGAGTGCTCATTTTAAGCTTTTAAAGAGATCTCAGAATCAAAATATTTGCCAAAGGATAACATTAGTTGTTTTAATGAAGTATCATCTAACCAAAGTACTTGTTTAAACAAGTACCTTAAGCTTGTATTTTATGTAAGAATCCCAACAGAACAAGAATGAATGTTATATATTGCTTGCCAATTTTGACACTAAAAACAAACAAAAGAGCATCACTGCATCTCTTTTTGTAACTGAATAGGCTTCACTCTTAGAGGGTCCTATTGGTCCTATAAAGTTCATCACTTCTTGCAAAAAGTAACAAAACATTGATCTTCATTTTTGCTGCAGTTATACAGTTTGATGCAGGCTTGTTCTAGCTTTAGAATAAAGCTAGTCTCTTTTCATTTTGAGTCAGAATGATTATTGTCTGAAGTATTGAATGGAATCTCAAATCAACATTTGTGGCCTAAGCACACTTTTAGAAGACAAATTTGTATATTAAAAACATGTGCAAGGCAACTTAGTTCTTTAAATGTACAATACAAACCATATTTTTATAGTGGAGTTAGATTTAGTACGTGGGTCATCTACCTAAAGTTGATGGGCTTAGTGTGGGCATTCATGGGAAGGGGAGAAATGACAAGACTGGTGCAACAGCAACACAATTATTGCCATTTATATATTTGAATCAGAGATTGGATTCAAGTGTGTAAGCATGGCATTTGGTGGATGATGCCACCAAGTATCTCCTTCAGGCTTCTTCAACACAATTTGCATGAAGATGATGCATCACAATTTGCTGAAGATGATTCAGGAGTTGGTATATCATAAATAAGGGTTTTTGGGTTTTTTTGGTGTCTGAGAAGTTGAAAAGTCACACAGAGATTGGAAGGGTCTTGCAATCCTTAAGGTCAGAGGTATAGATCTTGAGGTCCACAGCCTCATGACACCTGTGAAAGGTTGGGTACAGTTCCTTACAAAAGGGCCTCCAGCATGTCACTTTTAAGCTAATGAAAGGGAAACTGTTAAATATATTGGGAATTATCTTGTCTTGCAGTTTGATTATATATATACACATTAAATTAATTTAATTTTGGATTTTTGTCCTGGCTTTGCCCATTCTTTTGTCCTGGCCCCATCATCATTCTGGAGTGTGGGCTTTTCAGCATAATCTTTAAAGATGAAATGTGGAGCTCATACTCAAACGTCTTGTGCACCTATGGCTATAACATTCCTTCTTCATGAATGAGATGGAAAACTTGATAGTTGTACAGAGATAGCCTTAGAACTCTTTCTTTAATGTTCTTTTACTATTTCTGAAGAACATTATTTTCCAGCTGGATTTTGTACAGTAACATCACCAAGTGTGCTTTTCAAGTGGTTATTGCAATTAATTGGGTTTGGCTCCCAAAATCAGATTGAATTAATTCCTCAACACTTCAGTTAGACTTTTTGTCATCCCTGAGTGTGGAAGTAGCACCTTTGAATTCAATGAAAAGATTAGCATATTTGGGTTCGCAATGGATATCAAAGTTGTAGTACATGGAACAATTTGACCTGTCCAAATAAATGACAATCGTTTTTTAAAAAACAGACACATACTTCATTGCTACTGAAATTCTATAGGCTGTTTTGTAGGCTTATTAAGTATTTTGGATCGATTGATAAGACTTTATATAGTATTACCCAGGTAGATTCCATTGGATTCAAACATACACAGAGATGGAGCAAGATGGTAAATAAAAAGAAATAACCCTGCTGACATTTATTACAAGTAGTCCTTGTTTAAGTGGCCACAATTGGGATCAGCAACTCATTAAGTAAAGTGGTTGCTAAGTGAAACTGCAACCATACTTATGATCTTACTTCAATTTATCTTGCTTTACAGAACTGTGAAGGTCATAAATATGAGGACTTGTTGTAAAGTAACATTTTTTTATCATGGTCATGACTGCAAATGGTTGCTAATCAAGGCAGTCTTTAAACAAGGACTACCTGTATGTAGCATTGTTGCATAGCTGTTAAGCTATGATGCCATTGTATCATTTTCAGTGGATATTTGTAACTTAACATTTGTTATGCTGTTTATCTTTTCTTTAATTAAATAAGCCTACATGTCTATGTATTGCAAGCTGTAGCATTAGGCATTTCTGCCATAGCACCACTATTAAAAAAATTAGTCTCTAGGTTGGCATGGGCAATACTGCAATACTGTAACATCTCTATAAGAGAGAAAATATATATATATCTGTATATAGAGTTATATTTCCAATTTAACGCAATTCCCTGAGCATTCCTTTTTTCCTTTTTTCTGCAATCAGCTGCTGAATTCTTTGGTTCTTTGTCCTTTCATATGGTGGTCTCCTCCTCCAGATGATGTTGTGTTGTGGCACTTCATTTTCCCTCTCATGAATTTTATAGGGCGCATCCAGCGTGTTGCCTTCTGGCTGCTCTATGGTCACATTAGAACTGGAGATATTTACCTTGGCAACATCTGGTGGACCTGTTGCTCTATGTGGTGTGTGATCTTCAACAGATGTTGCAAGGGTGGGAGTGATGTCCTCTTCAATATCATTAACTGTTGAGTTGCCATGCCCTGTTTCATTAGCATACATACCACAAGACTTGCAACACAGTTTATTATATCCAGGAATGGTACAGTACCGGTGGAGAACTTCCATGCGACAAAACATTGATCTGTCTTCTTTGCAATGTTCTGCTGGAAGAGAAAAATAAATTTAAGTGTATGCTATACATCTGAAACAGAATCAAGTAAACTTGGGTCTTAAGGGGCCCTTGCATAAATAAGGTATTATATGTGCTCTTAACTGGTGGCTCAGCAGACTAAAAGCATTGTGATTAACACCAGCTGTCTGCAATTACTGTAAGTTCGAATCTCACCAGGCTCAAGGTCAACTCAGCCTTCCATCCTTTCTAAGGTAGGTAAAATGAGGACCCAGATTGTGGGGGCAATAAGCTGACTTTGTATAAATATACAAAAGTATGAAGGCTATTGCTTAACGCATTGTAAGCCGCCCTGAGTCTCCGGAGAAGGGCGGCATATAAATCAAATTTAAAAAACAAACAAACAAAAAAACTAACAACCTCTCTCATGTTTTTTATAGTGATCTAAAGCTATAAAACAAATTTTATGCATTGATTCAACTTTCAACTGGGAATGCAGTGACAATTTCTGAGTGATGTACATTTGTGTGTCCCCAAATGCACACATTAAAATTATACAGCAGGAGTGTCAAACTCAAGGCCCGGGGGCTCAATCCGGCCCACGGGTGCTTAGATCTGGCCCCTGGGGCCACCCGGGTAAACAGCAAAGGACTGGCCTGCGATGCCTCTGCCAGCAAAAACAGAGGCAGAGGGTTGCAGCTGAAAATGGAGCTTGGGAGCCCATTTTTTCTGGCAGAGCACTTGGGCCACCACAGGCGCCCCCAACACGAGTGACACTGAGCTGGCCACACCCACCCTGGCTACACCCACTCCAGCCCCCAAGGTCAAACACAACCCTGATGTGGCCCTCAATGAAATCGAGTTTGACAAACCTGCTATACAGGATATGTTTAGGCATGATAGCAAGGGTGAAATCCAGCAGATTCTGACAGGTTCTGGAGAACCGGTAGCGGAAATTTTGAGTAGTTCGGAGAACTGGCCAATACCACCTCTGGCTGGTCCCAGAGTGGGGTGGGAATGGAGATTTTGCAATATCCTTCCCCCAGGAGTGGAAAGGGAATGGAGATTTTGCAGTATCCTTCCCTTGCCACGCCCACCAAGCCATGCCCACCAAGCCACACCCATTGAACTGGTAAAAAAAATTGAATTTAACCACTGCATGATAGTGACTATATTGTTAGAACCACTGGTCATCTGGATCACCCTAGTTACATGCTGGGTTTTCCTAAGCTCATGTCAACAACGTGTCTTGACTATGGTACATCAGTGGAATGAAAATTATTTATATAAGAAGCAGCTTTCTCATTGACTTTCAAGCATTATGTTAATCTGACCACAGGAAGTTACTTACTATATTTGGCCTAGCACAGATCACACGGCCAGCATACCAGAACTTGTTTGACTTATTATTTCATTGTTTTATTACTAACAACTGGAGCAAAATATACATTGTCAATGATGATATTGAAAGACTCCATTCACTATACTACTTGTCTTAAAAGTTTCAGCTAGTACCTTCACAAGTCACTAAGAATTATACAATCACTGTGCATGCTAAATCTCCATTGGTCTTTGATGGGGAAGGTAGAGTTTACTGTTTTTCTACAGGTTTCTTGGGCATTGTTTTTTTTTTTTTTAATTTATATGCCGCCCTTCTCAGGAGACTCAGGGTGGCTTACAGTGCGTTAAGCAATAGTCTTCATACTTTTGTATATTTATACAAAGTCAGCTTATTGCCCCCACAAACCAGGTCCTCATTTTACCTACCTTAGAAAGGATGGAAGGCTGAGTCAACCTTGAGCCTGGTGAGATTTGAACTTGCAGTAATTGCAGGCAGCTGGTGCACTGTAACAGTTCTTAATCAGCTACGCCACCAGGCTCCTTTGGCTATGTAATAACAGGCACTGAGCTGAAATTATTCTCTTTTTTCTTTTTCACTCTGACATCATGATAAATTGCTATCAAAGAAGCCAATTCATTGGGCTTCATTATTTTTGTGTCTATTATTTTATAATAATAATATATTCCTAAAGGAATCTCTACGGATTTTAGTTCCCTAGTCGTTGTCGACTGTAGTGGGTGGTGTTCATCTCAATTTCAAGGCCATTGAGCCAGCACTGTCCAAGTCATTTCCACAGTTATGTGGCCAGCATAACATCATAGAGCACTGTTACATTCCCACCAAAGTGGTACCTATTAATCTACTCACATTTACATGCTTTCAAACTGCTAGGTTGGCAGGAGCCAGGGTGAGGACAGGGACTCACCCCATTGCATAGTGCTTGGGTCTCGATCCTGGGCTGCCCAGCTTTCCAGCTGATAAGGCCAGCATCTTAACCACTGAGTCACTGCCCCGCCCCATAATATACCATGCCATTATAATAGCAGTGTTCCGATATCTTAGGGGTTGCCACAAAGAAGACGGAGTCAGACTATTCTCCAAAGCACCTGAGGGCAGGACAAGAAGCAATGGGTGGAAACTAATCAAGGAGAGAAGCAACTTAGAACTAAGGAGAAATTTCTTGACAGTTAGAACAATTAATCAATGGAACAACTTGCTTCCAGAAGTTATAAATGCTCCAGCACTGGAAGTTTTTAAGAAGAGCTTAGATAACTATTTGTCTGAAGTGATGTAGGGTTTCCTGCCTAAGCAGGGGGTTGGACTAGAAGACCTCCAAGATCCCTTCCAACTCTTGTTACTCTATTTCTATTTGTAACCAAATGGCATATTTACAGAATCTTTCGTCTATAAGGAGTGCACCATTTTCTGAGTTTCTATACATTGCTAGAATGTTACCAGGTAGCCTTCAGTCAGTAACTACTTAAAGGTAAGAACCAAGACAGTTCTCTAAACTGATTGTCTCACTTTCTGAAAAGGGTTGTCCACTATATAACTGAGATCCCATCATTTTTTTAAAAAGCACTTAACACTATATTTAGATAATTCATGAATAATTCATTGTAGGAACTGATGCATCAAGAGAAGGTAATACAGGTAATCCTCAATTTATGACTGTAACTGAGTTCGGAATTAAGATGAAAGCCATGCTAGTTGTTAAGCATGCCACCCTGTGACTGCACCCAATTTGACAATGTTCTTTGCAGTGGTGAATTACTATGAATCACTATGGTTGTAAGTGAACATGACAGCTGTTAAGTGAATCCATTGTCCACAATGGGCATTTTTGCCAGAAACCTGAAGTAAACCCCAGTTTCCAGCTAAAATATAAAAATAAAAATCCATCACAAACTGTCATATGGTCATGGAAGGGCTAGAGGCCATTCGAAGTTCAAATCTGAGTTGTAAGTTTTAAGAACTTGGGAGACAGACTTGTAGAGGTCTGTCATAACTTTGACCAGCTGTTAAGTAACTGGTCATAATACCTGTACATATTTTCATTGTCATGAGGAATTGAACATTTACAAAAACTCCCAAACAAGTTCAAAAACTTCACTTCTTCTGAAAATTAGTATTGCTTTTCTTGCAGGGTTCATGCACTTATCTCAACATCTATGTGTGCCTAATCAGGCCTTCAAAATGTAGAAAGTTTTAAAAAAGAAAACAAGGGAGAGATGTGCTAATGACATCTCTTTGTATGAAGAGACATGCTGAGGAAGAGAGAGATTAGCATGAAATGCTAGATGAATATAGAGATCAAGTGCATGCAGCAAAATCAACTCTGAGTTTTGCAGCATTATCTGTCCAGATGGAAGGAACCCATCCATATTGCCATCTAGTGATAATCTTAATTTGGATGCACAGTTAACATGGTATTTAATTTCATACTACATCTGGTTACAACATGGCCTTTCTGCTTTAATTATTAATTCATTTTTTGCTACCCCAGTGTAAATAAGAACAGGATAGCTCCAGGGATCATATACACTGAAGAAATGTCAGTGATCCCCACTGCTTATAAAGCATGGGGGGGGGGGAAATCTTAAACGCCCTTGTTTACATAAGAAATCAGTATTGACATTCAAACTAGGTTTCTAAGTATGCATTGCAGAAAGAGAGAGGATGAGCAATCTGAAAACTAGGTTAAGAAGAAGTAAATGCAGGATGCAGGAAGCATATTTTAAAGGAGGACTGAAATTTCTCATATGATAGAACACAACAAGAAAGTTTTCAAAAGTTGCCTCAGTGAAAACTATAGGAGCTATGAAGCATAGAGCAATATGCTGATCTAACACCAATCATTTCACTATAGTTGGCACAAGAAAATGTCCAATCAGATATACATACTTTAATTTCTGGGAGCAACATACCATGTGAATTTCTTGATGCTTAAACAATCTGTGATATACATGCTACAAATGCTTTCTGGTTAAAGTTGTGGTGGAGTATAGTTTGTGCTGTGCTGTGCTGTGCTGTGCTGTGCTGTGTGTGTGTGTGTGTGTGTCTGGCTACAAGCTAACTCTTCGCCATCTTTCTGTGCTCCAGAAGAAAGAAATTTCAAATGCATCTTTGGAAATGTATAACAATCAGGATGGTATGACAGCATCATCAGGCCACTTAGATGGAAGCTGCATGCAGATATTGCAGCATAGGGGTTAGAGCAGGGGTCCCCAACCCCTGATCCATGGACTGGCAGGAACTCACCTCGGTCCATGGCATGCCAGAAACCAGGTTGTACAAGTAAAATCCCAAACCGCGGGATGCAGGCAGCACGCAAAACCACTCCCCCTCCAGTCCATGAAAAAACCTTTCTCCATGGAACTGGTCCCTGGTGACCGAAAGGTTGGGGACCTCTGTGTTAGGGGGCGATAGCCTTTTAACTGCATTGCAAATTACAGCCTACTCTAATTCAGAAATATTTGTTGATTTGAGAAAAGATATATAATAGTTCTTTACTCATCCTCTAAAATATAGGGCATGAGTGTGTTTAATTGGCAAACATATCAGTCTAACATATGTTAATACTTTTACTAATTTAACTGTACAGCAGCATTATGAAACAAAATTAAAGTTCCCAGATATTTATGGGAAATAAATAAATAAATACCTTTTGTTTCTGTTATTTGATTTTATGCTGATTTTATAAAATATAATTCCAGTTCAGTTTCACAAAGGAAATAATTGCCTAAACTCTTTAGGTTAGAGATCACATGTTTTATATATAGAACTATTAATTTAACAACTGTAGAGTTAAATATGTCTAGATATTTAAAAATGGCAAAATAATGACCTATATTTGATTTTTCCTTAAATATATTTAAAACTAATTTTTCAACTAAGCATAATTTTCAAACTAATTAAAGAAACATTTGGCTTCAAGGTGCCTGTTGAAACAGCTTTAGAAAAATGCCTTATTTTCCATAGTAAAATATGCGAAATGTGTAGATTAAATACAGAGTCAGGTGAAATGACTCCTATGATGCTATTAAGATGCATTTCATTTATAATTAAGAGTTTCTAGAAAGACATCTTCTTTACTTCCTTAGTGGGGGGCAATGGGGAGGGGGCAGTTAGCCATGGAGCATCAACAAGATTTGTGACAGCTTAAAGATGTAACAAATTCATTTTGGCATCAATTGCTTCCTGGATTGCAAGCCATTTGCATGCACAAAGTTGACCATTAACCTTCTTGGTTCTAAGGTACAAAAGTCTTTAAGCTGTTTGTCTTAAGATTGTGATTTGTATATATATCAGAATAAATATAGGTGGTTATTCTTCTAACAAAAGTCCCAGACCTGCTGAACTTTAATCTTTTATTTTGTAATACGCATGACAGACTGGAAATTATCTCTTTTAACTCAGCAGTAAGAAAAAAATAGTTATTTGTACAATCACTTTGGTACACATTTCAACTGGCCTGATAGAAAATATTGAACAGCAAACTGAATTGGCACATGTTTAATATTGTGTTAAATACATACAAAACACTGATAAAATATCCCTGATAAACCAAAGTGCATATAGAACTGCGCACGATGCCCAGGTATCTTATTGCACCATTCTCTAGAGCCACCCATATTGTCAAACATCACTTAACAGTTGTCTATTGAAAGGTAACTAACAGTCATAAGTAAGTTGATAACAGTTATACACCAATTATTTTACATAACAGTATTTAGAGCCAGATAACACGTCTTTGCCTTTTATGTTGCCATGTGTAATTACTAACATGTTGCAGCGGGAAATAATAATAACAGCAAAATTTAAATATGTGATCACATGATAATGACCATTTTGAAGTGCTACATTGCCAAAATCCACAGGGTCACCTTTGTACGGTATCTCAAATGTTAGCGGAAAGAGAGCAAGAAAATTGTTATGATACCCCAGGACTAATGCCTTTCTATTCTTTGATATTACATGAGTGGTCCATGGAGAATATATTTTAGTTCTTCAACACAAAGCCTGTTAAAGGAATAAATTGCAATTAAATAAATTAAGTGTTTCAAAATACTTTTCTTCATCCAATTTGGTAATGATCCTTTTTCTTTCTCATACATGGACTGTGCAAATTTCCTTCCAGAGTTTAATCATTCAAGTAAAACACTCTGTACGTGAATATCAATTCATGATACCAGTACACTGTATTTAAAGCTGGAACTGGAGATTAATGCCAATGCAATTAAAGTTTAAGGCATTTTTCTAAACATAGTTTCTTCTTCCCTAAGCAAAATAAAACAAATCAATAAAAATTGAGGTAATTCTGTAGTTCACACTATTATGCTTGCCAGTTGACACACATCTATAGATCATACACGCACACACGCACACACACACACACACAAATAGAAAAACTGAACAGTCAAGCCAAATATGCATATGGTGAAAAAAGACTGATGAATGTAATGATGAATAAAGAATTAATTGCCGAACAACTTTTGACATTGTGTGTGTCAATGCCATATTGTCTCAACAATATTACAATACTGCACATCACAACTTGTAGCATAAGTACATGTTCTGCCATGTTGTTTTTCTAATTGCTTTTTCAAAGGAAAAAAAAAGAACATAAGGTACGCTCTGATAAAATAGTGTTTTTCCACTTTTGGAAATAAATATAAACCAAACGAAGATTCCTTTGAAGCATAGTATGTAGTAGCAGCAGCATTTGATGGACTATATATAAAAAGAAGTCTCATCTTCCTGAAGAATAAGTTTTTCTCATGGTAACAAACACACATTTTAAAGCCATCGTGACACATGGATTGAGAAGCAATGAGATAGAAAGATGGAATGGGTGCTTTCGTCCTGTTTGAATACCCTGCAAAAACATTGATCTACCTAATCTGCCATGAATTAGAGGACCTTTAGATGAAAGGAAAACCTTAGCACTACAAGTTGTCATTATTGTGATGCGATCACATTCACAATAAGTTGTCAGTTTCACCATCAAACTCAAATCATGAGCCAGTTAAGAGCCTTTTTTCACCATCACTAACCAACAAGCAAACCGACATCAGCTCACTTTTTAGAGGACTTACAACAAACTGCAGATATTCTGCTTCATACACCCAACCCCTTGACGACCTCCACTGCAGCAATGAAGGGCTGCTCAATCTCCAGAGAAGTAAGACATTGGACACTGCAACCCAGTGCAGGGGGAAAAAAGATTCCTCTCAAGATAAAACTCTGAAGATTCAAGAAAATGTTCCATATAGGAAAAAGAATAGAGCAGAAGGCAAAGTCCACATTTGACGTGGCATGCAGCTAAAAGCAAAGGCAGAATTATAAATGGGTCTTTTACTTGAAGATATTTTCTGGATAGGATAATCTGTGTCCGGTCTTGACAGCCACTGTATCATATAGGTCTTCTTGGATGTATCTGATGAATTTTCTGAAGGAGAAAGAAAGATTTGGGGTGGAAAAGGGAAAAAAAATATGAGCACTTTTTGTAGCTTTTAATTTTACATTTTACATTTTACAATCCAAAAGCTGAATTAATAGCCCCCCTTTCTAATCACAAAAAGGAAAACATTTTAAAAGCCAAAACTATACTTAGAAAAACACCAGTGTTTTTAGTTTTGATGAAGTTAATCATTTAAGCCCTTCTGTTCAGATGTATCACAACGTGGCATGCTTTCAGAAAGGCTACCAGTACAAATGTAGATAGTGAATAAATGTTTTTAAGAGAAGTTTACTTCCATTTTAGGATATCTTCACATATTCTGGCTGCTAGGTAAGCAATTAAAACTTTGTGTACTTTTGAACAAGTAGGACAGGGACAGGGGTTGACTAAGGCTTGCCACAACTATAGGGAGGGCAACTGTGGACCATTATGGGTCTACACTGGAAGATATAGAAGTCGAGGAACTAGAGAACACAAACACACACACAAAAAGCAGTGAGGAAAAATAAAAATGTGATAATCGACTAATCTCAATATCTAGTCTCCACTATCAAAGTTTCCAAAATGGTGTGTGGTTCTCTGATAATTCATAGACCAATGTTTCTTAACCTTGGCAGCTTGAAAATGTGTGGACTTTAATTGCCACGGCTGGCTGGGGAATTCTGGGAGTTGAAGTTCACACATCTCTAGTCTGTCAAGGTTGAAAAATATTGTCATCGACAAAGAAGAAACAATGCTTTTAGATTCTTGCCAAGAAATGATTCTCAACACTTTGGCTTTCTTTATTATTTCATACTAGCCTGCTAGGATTCCCACCCCCCAAAATCATCTGCAGTGAGCCCCCCTCCCCCAAATCAGACTTCTTTAAGTTCAAATTTCTTCTCCAGGTGCAATAAAGGTAAAGCCGTTAACACTGGGAATATGGGACAGACTACTCTGACAATACAGAAGTAAAATGGCAAATGTGACTATAGTATCTCTATAGTTTGTTGGCATTTCACAAAGGAGTCCTCCCAACTTCAGCCCTCCCCCTTCCCTCTCCAGAGGACTCAAGAAAAGTGTTATGTACCATATAAGGAGTGAGCTATAGGCTTCACTCAGATCCTCCAAAATGGCGGGAAAATACTTGAAGCTCATTGGCTAAGCTGTCTGGCAGCCCTCTATAAAAAAAGGGACACTGCCAGACAAGCAGTTTGTTGGGTTGTACTGGTCTACTAATAAAGAGCTGTTGTCACTGAAAGAGCTGTGTCCATCTCTTCCATCATCAAATCTAACAAAGAGTTTTTAAAATGTGTAGACTCACTGGGACATGAAGGTAGCCTGCAGGGTCTTGTTGTTTCTGGCCTATCTTCTTTACAAAAGCCAGTAATGTTTTCTCTTGTCCTGCAGAGAACTGGCCTTTCTTGTGTGCCATTACCACAGGTTACAGAACACTGGAGAGCAAACAAAGAAAAATGGGCTTCCAATTCTCTTTTGTAAATGCATTTTTGGTTTATATCTTTCATCTTTATACACACACACATGCACAATTACTTAATGCTAACAATCGCACTATAGCTACTCTTCTTCCAACTTTCTAAACTTCCGGATGACTCTAAGGCCAACATGGAGTCATGTTGTTTATAGAAACATAACATCTATACATTCCACTTTGTACTTCCAAGATAAAGGAACTGAAAGGCCACCCAGACTTTCCCCATTTATTTCAGTTGAAATCAATGTATAAATTGAACCATGATTCAAATGTCTGCTTACCTGTGACCAGGGTCCAATCCACCACTGTGCAGGGCAAAGTTCCCGATTGCAAACCCTCTTGCCCTCCGGACGATCACTGCTGCAGTATTTGGTATGGACAGAACGGTTTGTGTTGTCGTGCAATGTTTGGATACATCGTACTGAACGCACCTGATATCCTGTTTTCCCACAACTTTTGCTGCAAGGTTCCCAGTCACCTATCACCCATCTGTTTCAATGAAAAACAATTAAGTCAAATATATAATGGCACCACTATATCCTCCTATCTAGTATGAGTATTTTGAGAATGAGTATTGTTCAGTCTGTGACTTGCAGAGGAAGAATAGGGGACTGAAGACAGCTCCATGAAAAGCAGAGCTGACAATTGTGATTAAGAACAAAGAGCTGATGAGTAGACCAGCTCTTAAAACCTCTCTGTCAGGGGAAAGATTGTCCACAAGTGCTCCACATAAGGGGCTGCAAAATAGTGGTCTCCAGCAGGTTCTGAGTGGTGAGAGATGAGGGAATAGTCATCTTGCTCAAACTACAGTTGGCCCCATGGAAAGGAGATACTAAGTCACAGAAGGAATTGCTTGTTAACTACTTATCAGCTATTAGAAATCTTTGGATCAGCAAGTTTGAAAGCATCAAGTAAGTTTGTCTTCAATGCTTTAACACAGGGGTATAAAACTCGTGCCCGCAGGCTGGATGCATCATGCGCTGGACACACCCATGCCCAGTTTAGTGAATGGAGGGAAAGTCATGATATGTCACGTGACGACTTCATGATGACACGAGTTTGACACCCCTGCTTTAACAAAAGAAAGTTTTAGCTACAAGCTTAAGATCTTAAGATAAACAGCAGAAGATTAGTTAATGCTTCAATTTTAGAAAACTACAAATGTACTAAGGGTTCAATTAAGTTTGAAATAAGATTTTGGAATTAATTATAAAGAATTCTTCCCTTGGAAAAAATGCTTTTTCTGATTTTTTTTTTTTTAAATAATAGGACAAAGAGAGAACTAAAGATTTCAGTTAAAGGAGAAGAATGAATAAACTTGATAAATTTATAAATATCTAAAATACAAGGACAAGTAGTCCTTAACTTACAACCGTTCATTTGTTCAAAGTTACAACAGCAGTGAAAAAAGTGATTTACAATCATTTTTCACACTTTTGGCCACTTCAGCATCCCCATGGTCATGTGATCAAAATTCAGATGCTTGGTGACTGACTCATATTTATGATGGTTTCAGAATCCCAGAGTCATGAGATTACCTTTTGCGACCTTCCATCAAGCAAAGTTAATGGGGAAGCCAGATTCGCTTACCAACCATGTTATTAAATTAACAACTGCAGTGACTCACCTATCGACTATAGCAAGAAAGGTCATAAAATGGGGCAAAATTTACGTAAAATTGCCTCGCTTAGCAGCAGAAATTTTGGGTTGAATTGCGGTTATAAGTTGAGGACAACCTGTATTTAGAAATCAGAGCTGGACTTTACATAATTCTAAAAAATATGACACCTAAAATAATTCTGCTATTGAACTATCCTAATGTAGATGCCAGATGCCAGACTTAAGAGAACAGAATTTCCTTCTAGTTTTTCTGACAAATAAGATCATCTATTCGTAATACTCTAAACAATCAACATGGAAACTAGCAGGGAGAGTCACTATTAAAACAAGTGTTGTTAGCAAAAGCTGGCACAGAAGCAGCATAATTCTTAGAAATAAATTTGCTACTTTGCCAACAATTCAATAGTACCATACTAAAGAGAATGAAAGCCGTCATGGTTTGTTGTTCCATTGTAAATATTTCAAAGCAATAGAGCCATTTTTCTTGGGAACAATCTTTAACTATTTCTGCATCTGTGATAACCATAGAGTGTATAATAATCATATAAATATTAAAAACATAAGTGTTGCAAAACTCTGAACTCTTCTCTTTTGCAATATTCCATCTAATACCAGTTCCATTTCCCAGCAGTGAATTGCTCAAGATGCTTCACAAATAGCATCAGAGGACAGTTTGCTCAGGCAGTGATACCCTCTGATCTACAGTAAGTGAAATAGAAACAACCTCCATAGAGAAACTCCTCTTTAAAATCAGGGCAGAACTAAATAGTTGCTCTTTCCAAGAAATACCTAAATGTCCATTTCAGTTTTTAGTTAGGACACAGTGAACTATGGAATGTGAAGGCAAACAAATTATAGAGAGGACACTATTCCCAAGTCATCTATGATTTTAGAATTTTCAAATTAATGTGCATACATAAAGCCTGCTCTATGGTATTCCTTCCTTTTAGGAAGGAATAAACAAACAAATGTTTGTTTTACTACATGGAAGGTTTGCTTCTGCTAACATCCAATGATGTGAGCTAAATGGAATGCACAGCATTGGGACATTATTACAGACACATCAACTAATTTAGTTCAGATATGATGCTAAATAACCAAAATCCTGATTTATCAAGAATGAGCATGTATGGGATCAAGGATCCTTGGTGCTTTCTGAGCTTGCTTGTTTTCTTGCAGACATGTATGAGATTCTCAATCCAAAAAGTGTTAATCCCATTTATATATTTTTTAAATTGTTAATCTCTAGTTAAACTAGGAACAAAGGCATAACCTCTATCTTTACAACGCCTGCTAATCCAAATCATGGAGTGTAAATATCTGTTTAAAATTACCAGAAGTAAGTATTTAAGTGAAAAATACCATAAATGCTTACATCCAGTGGTGGGATTCAGCCAGTTCGCACCACTTCAGGAGAACCGGTGGTTAACTTTCTGAGTAGTTTGGCAAACTGATTGTTGGAAGAAATAATTAGGGCAGAGAATCGGTTGTTAAATTACCTGAATCCCACCACTGCTTACATCTAAAGGTTTTGTAAGCAGAAAATCCTCATTTTTCACAATTTTTCAAGAACCCAAAATTTCTAAAAGTTACACTACAGTTTTTATTGCTGTTTAAATTAGGATTAGCAAATGGAATATTTTTCAATAATAGCCTTTTTAAAGAACTGAAAATCAATTTATATAAATTCTATCTGCTTCCCCTTCAAAAATTCAGGCACTTATACATGTTCAATAATGACTTATTCTATTATATTTACTAAGATGTTTTTCTTAAAAAAAGTTTATCTTCTTCAAAATTCATTTTGCAATTGGGGGGCATCCTCAATGTATGTGATTTTTAAACTTAAGTATCTTAATATTGCTAATTTCATCATTTCATATTATATCATTATATCATTGTATGTAATTCCTAAAGTGGTAACTTTATAAATGTATCAGAGCAGCTCTGATGAAAAAAGAAAGCATCAGAAAGGGAAGAACATTAAAATTAAGACAAAGTCATCTGAAGCAAGGCAATGTTGCATTAGGAGATGAGTATTTAATGGCAGTGAAAATTCAGAAAGACTCACTTACATTGGCTGGGAACATTCCTGGAGATTGCACATTCTACGAATAGGCCTGGGCTTTGAGATAGACTCACAGTAACTGCGACGGATCATCTTCAGATCATTCTTCCTCCGGCAACCATATTTTGTAAACTGGTAGCCTTGAGGGGGGGGGAAAACCTTACTTTATCTTCAACATTTCCAAGAACTTTTACATAATTCAAATATTTTCATTTTCCCCCTACTAAAAATACTCTGGCCACTATTTTATGAATGAAGGCAAATATACGTGTCCCAGGATCACGTATCTGTTGAAGGATCCAATCTGGGTCAGTCACTGGGACCACAAGTTTTGTCTTCCGAGCTTTGAGACTCGTGCTGGAGCCCATCTTCTTTCTAGAGAGAAATTCCCTGAAGATGGGATCCAGCACAAGTCTGAAATCTCAGAAGACAAAACCTCTGGTCCCGGTGACCGACTCCGATTATATAAAAGTTAAGTAAAATCTTATTGTAGTCAAGCTTGATAATTTACACAGGTACATTCCTGTCACTTGGTATTGCCTTCTTCCTTTAAGTTTGACTTCTCAATGTAGTCCAACTACCTGTGCTTCCTAAAAGGTGCTCTTCCATCAAACCAGGATTGACTTTGCTTAGCTTTCCAGATCAGACAACATCAGGTTTCAATTATACACAGAAATCAACACACTTGGGCTGCCAGATAGAGGTTGCAAAAAACAGGACAATCACAAAATGGTTAAAATAGGATCATGCTCCCCTTCCCAGTTCTTACACTTAGTTGTAAGTTAGTCAAAAAAACTAAGATCCAACCATCTGGAAATCCCAGATGTGTAGGCAATACTGAGAAGCAGAAAATGAATCTTCTTAAAAAGACAAAAGCAGAACACGAGAAAGAAACATAGGAAGGATGTATGAGCTGAGTTTGGGAAACCTCTAATAAAGTGAGAATTTACCTGAGGTAATGTTCAGGCAAAATGGACAAAGGAAATAACTGTTTCAAGAGAAATCTAGTTGTGTAGAAATAGATAACAAGTTTACTCCAGAATTTGTACTAGCATTAATATATTTTTTCATGTTAGAGTAATTACCTTTTTAAAAGATTTTTCTTAATTCAAGTAATTGTGTGTACTTCTGCCTATTATACATATCCTCATGCTGTGCATCATTTTAGAATATTTTTTGATCTATAATAATTAATCCAAATCTAAATATCCTGGCAGAACATTCATTTATAGCAAATCAGTGGCATCTTGTGGTCTGTCAGGAGCATTACATATTTTATAAACTCTTAAAATCTGCCCTTCCCTCATATTTTGAACAACTCTGTAACCATTTTCCTTCTCTATTGACTCTTTACATTGTTGTATTTACATTTAGAAAGTCCCTCTCTCTCCCTCCCTCCCTCCCTCTCCTCTCTGTCTCCCTCCCTCCCTCCCTCCCTCTCATAAAGTTTGATTTCATTAATCTTTGGTCAGTCTCCCAATAGGACCTCAAAGGACTGAAATGTGTGTTCATATCCTTCTAATGATCAAGGAGGATTCCAAATTTCAGAGCAGGTGGAATTCTGGGAGCTGGGAAATGAGATAATGTGGAACAATTTTGCATGTTTGTGTAAAAACAAACAACTGACACATTACTGGTTGGTTCAGTTTACTCTAGATGTGAAATGCAAGGTACATTCTCCAGTTAAAATTTACAGCGCAGCATTTTGTCTCCTACCATTTGTTTATTTCATCAGTTTACTTTTTAAACTACTATCCATTTTCTAGATGTGCAGCATGTTTTTGAGTAATAGACAGCAATAAATAATTCCCATGGAATGTATTTTTCTACCTATGACCTAAACTTTTCCCTATTAAAATGTAACTGAAGATGTCAATATCTAATGATTCATAATAAATAATTACACTTTGGATAATCTCACAAAGACTTGACGGATGATTGTTTGGAGAAATCAAATGTGCTGCACTGAATGAATTAATTACAGTACCACAGATAAGAAATTACAGGTAAGCCTGTTAAGTCATTTTAACTTCATGGATTCCTGTCTCAAATTCAGCTATGAGCCAAATTAAACTATTAAGCATACTTAAAAGCATAATTAGAATCACAGTTTTTCATAACAGACAGAAAAGTCAATGCAGTCATCAGCATCTTTACCTCCTCCACAAGGTTTTGAGCACTGGGTCCATTTTTTCAGAGCCCATTCATATGGTACAGGATCTTTCAAGACATTGTTATCATCAACATTTAAAGAATCTTCATGGATCATAAATTTGTATGTCAATGAAATCTTCCCATTACCATGAGGAATTACCTAGTTAGACAAATAATGTATATCTTTTCAGGAAGATCATTTTAACATCACTTTTAAAATCTCTTCAAAACCAGATTCCAACCAAGATTTAAGCTTCCATGATTCTCTGGTCTTGTTCCAGGTCCATGATCTCTTCATTTCACCTCTGCCACTCTGCCAACCACATTCCCCCACAAGATCCCTAATCTTGTTTTCTGAAAAAAGGGAAATCCATATCCCTAGAATTCTCACGAATGAAAGAGGCAACATATATAATTGGGAGGCACAATCTAGATTTGGCTTTCATCCTTAAAATCAACTGATACTATATATCAAATAAAGGGTGCATGACTCACTGTCACACGGCACCCTCGTCTTCGAAGAACTTACCAAAATGGTGATGCCATGATGTAAAGGACCCATCGTTTGGACCATTTCCCTGTCCTCATCATTCCGATACTCCCATTCTGCACCCATGTGGATGAAAGTTTTGGAGTCTGGCACATAGTTGTTTTCATTTAGAATAAATTTTCCTGTTTCTCGGTTCTTGATCGCTAAAAACAAAATAAGAAATATGAAGTCAAGAGATGTCCAGTGGCTTCCCCTTCCTTCTCATTTTTATTTTTTTTTCCAGCGTGCAAAGAAACTAGAAGTCACAGAAGTGACTTCTTGCTTTATTTACTTTACTTGGAGAATTAATCAAAAAATATCACCAGAAAAATTTCTATAAACATTTTAGTATTAACAAAATAAAATTTGCTACAAAGCAACCAAAATATCCTATCTAGTTATTCCTACCCCCCACCCTCACCCCAAAATAAAAAATTGGGAAACCTTGTTTCTTATCTATGACAAAACTGAGAACCCTCTGGTTCTAAGTCTGTATTCAAGTTTCTATAGTCAGAAATTGTTTGCATTCTTTCTTCTCTACCTTGAGAAAAAAGCAACGGTAGTTCCTAATGTCCTACCCAGAGTTTTGGAAAAATGAGGATTTCTTTATTTTTATCTGGCTGCCTAACTGTCAAATTTCTCAAGGCAGTGTACTATGTATTCTAAATGTGGTAGATTTTGAATTATATTATAATTCACCTTAGACAATAGTACAAGGCTTGTTGTACTATTGAAACCTAAGGCTTGTTATATTTCTTGGAACCTAACAGGGACATGGCAGATTCTCCCACCTCCTTCAAACTGTAGTTTAATGAGTTTCAAATTGGCTACTATTCTTGGATAATATATAGCTATATATTGATTGCAGTTGTATGGGCGCAAATTTGTAGGTTTCATTATTGGCTGATTTCAAAAAAAGGAAAATAGTTTAATTTGACAGACAGAAATCCTCAAATAGAGTCAATGACCGAAAACCATGTATGTTAAATATGAAAAATCTTTTCTCCATGAAAGGCGATTTCATTGTACCAATCTTCTTCGAACTTGAGAATTTTACACAATCTTCCCTCTTTTCATATACAACTCAGCCACAGCTTTTATATCTCTCTTCTTGTCACTGCTAAATTTGCTGGCCCACGTCTACATTAAAACACGTAAGGAATATTTTCTCTTTCAAAATAATAGTCAGACATGACAGCCTTGTACATTTACTGCCCTTTTTCCCAACTGCTTCAAGAGTCATTTGTGAATAAAAACAGAAGGTAATAAAACAGAAGGTTTTTATCTTGCTCATGTTTTTTCAGAAATGGTTTGCCTAACGTAAGGAATATGTCTGTGCAATGAACATTATTAATCCCAGACAGCTGCAGAGAACAGCAATTCACGAAACATATCTCTTAAAACAAAGCTTGGATGATTCATAGAAAAGTTACTAGGTCAGTGGACATGAATCTGCTTCTAATTAATTACAGCCTACAAGACAATGCCTCTTATTGATCCACTGAGCTGTAAAGATTGAGAGCTTCAATTATTATTGAAACTTTGCTTGATTGAACGTTCTTGCTGCAGTTGGCTTAGAACTAGAAAGAAGGACCAAGAGGATAGATGCTGGAGATGTAAGCAAAAACACATCTGGTAAATCTGATGCACAGGAAATGTGGGCTCTGCAGAATACATTGCATAATTACATTGAGTAGAAATGACATATGATTTGTTTATTTATTTATTAAATGTGTATGCTGCCAGACTCCAAGTGATTCTGGGCATTTATTGTTTCAAAGCCAAATTTTAGGAAAGTTAGACATACTATTTCAAAGAGCAGGTACTAAGGTATTTAGTACGGTAAAGTTCAAATTATGATCCAAATAGGATCTGTGAATTTTTAAACTTCTATATATTTGTGTAGAGATTTTGTTTCTTAAATTCCTCTCTACACAATAGAACTTATTTCACCACTACTTCTACAACAAAAAAGGATCTGGCTGGAAACAAATACATTTGTAGGTTGCTTTGATTAAGAGAATACAATGTAAAATATTGCATGCTTGGAGTTCTCCAAGCATGAGTTTGGGACATATAGAAACAATTTCACTGCAAAACCAAACAAACTCAGAGAATTCCAGCAATGAATGTAACATGCAAACATGGAGTTACCCATATTTGCTACTAGTTTGGTTTTCAACCTCAAAACTGATTAAAATTGCTCTGCCCAGCTTCTATATCGTTGCATTAGTGCTATTTTAGTTCTACAAAAAGGTTCCCCGACTCAATTAAAATATATTTTATAACCAGAATAATATTTCAGCTAGTCAGAAAAAGCATATCCATGAGCAAATGCTGACTATGATGCAATATGATACGTACCGAGATTATGAACAGTAGGATCGGATTCTTGTATAAGTAAATGCCTGGCACCAGCTGGAATGTCAAACATCTTGAGGTATCCTGCAAGAAAGCATCAAAACTATTAACAATAACTTTTATAAGCAAAAGAAAAAAAAATCATGAATATCTGCTGTATTTTATTTTATATAGTAGATGCCATCTAACTCCTTTTAAAAAACATTTTTGCAGCTCCAGAACTGACTTAAACCATAATTGCCAAAGATTGGTAGCATAGTTTACTATCAGAAAATGCATAAACATGGCAATCTTTGCTCTAAGACTGGTTTCATATAGTGCACATATCTTCGCACCATCACGTTGTCCACTGAGAAATTTCTCTCAGTCTTGCCTGCAAATATTCCAAGCAACCTGTAGCCATGAAGAAATTTGCCCATTTTAACTTGTGAGTTCTAAGCCACCTTTTGTTTCTTTTCTAAGGAATGTAGATGCTTCCTCTCAAACCCAGGTGAGTTTACAACATTTTAAAATCGTAATATACTCTTCAAATTAAAACATCAAGAATAAAATCAGTACAATATATTTAAAAGGGACTTTACAGATAAACCTAGTCCAGGGGTGGGCAATTGTGGCTCTTTTACAACCTGTGGACTTCAACTCCCAGAATTCCTGAGACAAGCTGTCTCAGGAATTCTGGGAGTTAAAGTCCACAGGTTGTAAAAGAGCCACAATTGCCCACCCCTGACCTAGTCCTTTCTGTTATTCAGTGCTGGAATCAACTATATCATCCTTGACAAGACTCCACCTGAAAACCTTGATGCAGACTCCACCTGAAAACCTCCAGCATGGGGGAACCCACTACTCGCCCACTGCTTTATGACTTTTAGCATGAGGAGATTCCTAATATGCAGCCTGAATCTCTTATTTCAGCCCACTGGTCTTTATCCTACAGCCAGTTTCAGCACATTTCCAGATGACTGCTTTTTTAGATATTTGTAGCAACAGCAATAGCACTTAAAGATATATTCTGCTTCATAGTGCTTTACAGCCCTCTCTGAGTAGTTTACAGAGTCCGCATATTGCCCCCAACAATCTGGGTCCCCATTTGACTGACCATGGAAAGAAAGGCTGAGTCAATCTTGAACCAGTCAATATTGAACTCCTGGCAGTGGGCAGAGTTAGCCTACAATACTACATTCTAACTATTGTGCCACCATGACTCAGTATATCAACAGCCTATATTTGTAGCTAAACCCCGCCGCAGGGAGGCGGACCCAATTAGATGGGTCCGCCCCAGGCGCCTGATGGATCCTGATAGGTTCCAGACAGAGCTTGGGCCAATTCCTGATGATCTGGCACACGACTCGGCCGAGGACCTAGTAGCTGCCTGGGACCGGGCGGCTGGTGGGGCCTTGGATCGAGTCGTGCCTTTGCGGCCTCTGACCCGGTGTCGATCCCTCGCGGCTCCTTGGTTCACCGAGGAACTGAGGGAGATGAAACGCCGGAAAAGACGCCTAGAGAGCGGTTGGAGGGCCAGTCGCGCTGAATCTGACCGAACACTGGTAAGGTCGCATATTAAGACCTACCTAGTGGCGATAAAGACGGCAAAGTTTAATTACTTTTCCGCCTCTATTGCGTCATCAGGGAATCGTCCGGCCGCCCTGTTCAGGGTAACCCGCTCCCTGCTCCATCTGGGAGCGCGGGAGGATCCCTTGGAAGGCAGGGCGGAGGATTTCGGACAATACCTGCATGACAAAATCGCTCAGATCCGGGGGGACTTGGACTCTGACTGGGTAGATCCGGGCAGGGTGACGAGGAATAGTCTTGAGAATGTTATCTGGGAGGAGTTTGATGCTGTGACTCCCGATGATGTGGACAGGATCTTGGGGAGACTTAGTGCGGCCACATGTTTACTGGACCCGTGTCCCTCCTGGTTGGTACTGGCCTCCCGGGAGGTTACACGAGGCTGGCTCCAGGGTGTTATCAACGCTTCGTTGAGTGAGGGTTACTTCCCCGCGGCCTTGAAGGAGGCGGTGGTGAGGCCTCTCCTCAAGAAGCCATCCCTGGATCCAGCAATGTTGGCCAACTACCGTCCTGTCTCCAACCTTCGCATCCTGGCGAAGGTTGTTGAGAGTGTGGTCGCGCGACAGTTCCCGCAATTCCTGGAGGAAACATCCTATCTGGATCCGTTCCAGTCTGGTTTCAGGCCTGGGCACAGCACGGAAACGGCATTGGTCGCGTTGGTTGATGATCTCTGGAGGGCTCGGGACAGGGGTTGCTCCTCTGTTCTGGTCCTGTTAGACCTCTCAGCGGCTTTTGATACCATCGACCATGGTATCATGCTGCACCGGTTGGAAGAGTTGGGGATGGGGGGCACCGTGTTACGTTGGTTCTCCTCCTTTCTCTCCGACCGGTCGCAGCTCGTGTTGGCAGGGGGGCAGAGGTCGACCTCGAGGCCTCTTATATGTGGAGTGCCTCAGGGGTCGGTCCTCTCGCCCCTCCTGTTCAACATTTATGTGAAGCCGCTGGGCGAGATCATCCGTGGCTTTGGGGTGAGATACCATCAGTACGCTGATGATACGCAGCTGTACATCTCCACCCCAGGCCACCCCAATGATGCCCTTGAAGTGATGTCCCAGTGCCTGGAGGCTGTACGGATCTGGATGGGGAGGAACAGGCTCAGGCTCAACCCTTCCAAGACTGAGTGGCTGTGGTTCCCGGCATCCCGATATAGTCAGTTGATTCCATCACTGACTATTGGGGGCGAGTCTTTGGCCCCCACAGAGAGGGCTCGCAATCTGGGAGTCCTCCTGGATACGCAGCTGTCCTTGGAGGAACATCTGACGGCTGTAACCAGGGGGACCTTTTATCAGGTTCGCCTGATCCGCCAGTTGTGGCCCTTTCTTGATCGGGATTCCTTGTGCACAGTCACTCATGCCCTCGTGACCTCTCGCCTTGATTACTGCAATGCTCTCTACATGGGGCTCCCCTTGAGGAGCACCCGGAGGCTCCAACTGGTCCAGAACGCAGCAGCGCGGGTAGTGACAGGAGCAGCGTGGCGCTCCCATGTAACACCGCTCCTGCGTGAACTGCACTGGCTCCCGGTGATCTTCCGGGTGCGCTTCAAGGTGTTGGTTATCACCTTTAAAGCGCTCCATGGCATAGGGCCTAGCTATCTTCGAGACCGCCTACTGCCACCGACGACCTCCCACCGACCCGTGCGCTCCCACAGAGAGGGCCTCCTCGGGGTGCCATCAGCCAAACAATGCAGGCTGGTGACCCCCAGGGGGAGGGCCTTCTCTGTGGGGGCACCTACCCTCTGGAATCAGTTGCCCCCTGAGATAAGGAGAATCCATGACCTCAGTGCCTTCCGCCGTGCCCTTAAAACTTTCTTTTTTCAACAAGCCGGGCTGGCTTAATTTCTTTTTAAGGGTTTTATTAATTGTTCTGTTTTGCTTATCGTTTTTAATTAATGGGGCCAAATCTATATATATATTTAAATGTGTTTTAATATTTGTATCTGATGTTTTTATCTGGCTGTTCACCGCCCTGAGTCCTCAGGGAGAAGGGCGGTATACAAATTCAAAAATAAATAAATAAATAAATAAAATAAATAAACATTTGCGGCTCCTTCAACCAAAAGATTTAGTTCTCTGAACCCTGGTCATCCTGGAACTCCTCCTTTAAATCCCCTTAACCCCCTTAAACCCCTGTTGCCATGTCATTTTTACTCTGCAGCCTAACAGCACAAGAGTATAAAAGAGCTATAAAAAGAATGTGGAAGTGGTGTTCCATATTTATTATCGAGAAATTTCAATTAATTAAACAAAATGACTTTATTTCCTCTGATATCTGGTTTTCCCCTTCTCCTCTTTGTAAAACATGGCATACTGATAATGTGGAGAAACTGAACAAGAGAATAAAGAGAGAGATAGGGTGCCAATGCATAACATACAATTCATTCTGACCTAGTCATAAGGCTTTTGTAAAAATAAAATGGGGTAGCTCCATAGAAATCATCTTGCATTCCTGGAAGAATAAAAGCAGGAAACAAAAGTAATGATTATAAATACAGGATGGAGCCTTTGAGCCAGACTCAAAAGGGAAAGGTGATTTAGAGTGCACACTGATGTTCACATCACATCTGTTGGCAACTCTTTTAAGACAACAAGGAACCAAAAGCTGTGGCGTACACATCCCTGCTTGCTCCCAATTAACTTTTCCTTTTTGAATCAAGATCACTGCACAATCTTAGTCATTTTATCTTCTGTATTTTAAAGGCTCACTATCCTCTTTATTCCTAAGCACGCAGGGTTGGATAGGGAAAGAAAACCACTATTTTTCCTCCTAGAGAAAAGAACCTTTTATGCATAGATCTCAGCTTATTTGTTAAATTCCGTCTTTTCGCTGTTGTCCAAGTTGAAGGACTCAACTTTTTGACAAGATTTTTTGCCCTCCCTGACAAATAGACATGATGCAAAATGGAAAGATTTTTGCAAGTCAGACAATAACCTAGTTTAGAATGAACAACCAAGAAAGCAGAAAGTCTGAATGTATCCAACACTCTGGTTTTAAGGATGAGGTATCAAGACAGACAAATATTTCAGCAGGGGCCAGTGGTGGTCTGAATGCAGTGCTGATTTGCTTTCCTTTTAAGACCTTGTTTAAAGAGTTGCAACAGTGGTCAGAATGGAAGGACAGAAGCCCTGAAAAGGGACAAAGATATAAGCAGGTCTGAAAATATCTATTTCCCCCAGTTTGGGGGGTATGTATTTTTCTTTGGTTCACTTTAAGATGGTAGTGGGACAATTGATAGATGCTCCTCAAAGATGTTGAGAAATGGGGGATACAGATGACAATGTCTGCGTTAAATTAAACGCACTTATTGGAGTCAGATTCAAAAGACTCTTTCTGAGTAGACTAACATAGAATTCTGTTTCATGGTTTGAGTAGACCAAGACATCATCACATGACAACATGTCTCAGTCACATAAATTAGGGTTTTCTTTTTATATTGATTTTATTTAAGAAAACATGTTTCCATCAGAACCTGTTCAAGACCAGCATTTGATGCAGCAAAGGAAATATTCTTGAACTCCTTTTAAAATTAAAACATACTTTTCTGGGGCAAGTATATTATATTTAAATAAGAACAACCTTGTTTCTTTGGTGCCCTGGAGAATGTTCCTTTAACCACTTTGCAATGGGTGTTGTCTCCACCGCACACACCACATTTATCTTCTTGCTTTGATGAGCCTATTACTTTGTCACAGCCGACTTTCTGAAACCAAGAAAAAAATAATCCATTCATTTTGTTTGTAAGAGAATTTTTTTTTAATGATAACAAGATCGAGATATTTAAGCAGGATATTCAGAACTAAAATATAAGTATGTTCCTGAAATAATATATTGATAGTCCCACGGGGCCTTATTTCAAGAACAGAAGAACTCTTTTCAGTTTAAGTAGATATTTGATTTTTTCCCCACATCTATTTTAAATAGTGAAAATCATAGAGCTAGAGTTTCATATCTATAATCCCTTAGAAAATAACACCCAAAAAACCCATATGTTTCTCTTTCTCAGTTTAAAGACATCACACTTTAGTAAGTCTGTCCTCAAGTTACATATCATGGAAATGAGCTGAACACAAGGTTTATTTAAAGCAGATAACTTGAAGACTGAATGGTAGGTATGGTTTTGGTTAAAAATTGCTGAAAATTGTACCCAAGCATATCTAGAATGACTGTATCACATGACCAACAATAAATAGCTATCTTTATCTATATCAGGGTAACTTTTTTGGGGTTATAGGTAAAACTTTGGAAATTGCTAAAGTGCTATAAAAATCATGTATGTAGTGGCTCAAAGTAACACTAGAAAGACATGAACAATTCATTAACTAACAGATATTCTTTCTAAACACTGTCCTTATGGAACATTCCATAATTTCATAAGAGCCACGGTGGTACAGTGGTTAGAGTGCAGTAGTGCAGGCTATTTCTGCTGACTGCCGGCTGCCAGCAATTTGGCAGTTCAAATCTTACCAAACTCAAGGTTGACTCAGCCTTCCATCCTTCCGAGATCAGTCAAATGAGGACCTAGATTCTTGGGGGCAATATGCTGACTCTGTAAACTGCTTAGACTGGGCTGTAAAGCACTGTGAAGCGGTATATAAGTCTAAGATCTATTGCTATTCCAACATGCACTAGGAACTAAAAGAAGAGTTTTAAAAGAAGAGTTTAAGGATTGTCTGGTTGACCGGATCTATGTGGTCATCTACTGCATGTGCTTATAGATAGCAATCACTATTTCCTTGAATAAAAACAAATTTAACAATTAGTTTAACAATTTGTTAACAAAAACAAATTTAGAAAGCCATTCTAAGCTAAGTACGTAACACAGTCACAACACATCAATGTGTCTCTAACCATATCACTTAATTTCTTTCCATCTTAAATCTTTAACTTTTGAAGCATTCTACAGTTGTGGAACACAGTTATTTTTCTTGGGATGCTTTGGAGAATTTTCTCTCCACATAATGACTTTTTCCCCTTTAAAAACTGTTGCACTTCAACAAATACTTTCCTTTTAAATACTTGTTTTCACATATTATAATCCCCTCCCGAGGATTAAGTTCACTATTAGTAAATATTATGATTTGAAAAATATTCTGCCACCTCTAATAAAACAGTAAAGTACTACACATCTGATTTCTTTTAAAATATCATTCAATATAATTTCTATAGTATATAGAATTTTTTATAAATTAGTCAGGGAAGGGGAAAAACTAGCCCATTATAGCAATAGCACTTAGACTTATATACCGCTTCACAGTGCTTTACAGCCCTCTCTAAGCAATTTACAGTGTCAGCATATTTTCCCCAACAATCTGGGTCCTTGTTTTACCTCAGAAGGATAGAAGGCTGAGTCAACCCTGAGCCAGCGAGTATCGAACTGCCAAACTGCTGGCAGTTGGCAATCAACAGAATTAGCCTGCAATACTGCATTCTAACCACTGCACTACCACAGCTCATTGTAATTTTAATATTATTCTTACAGATAGAAAAATGGAAAAAGATATATCTGAAACAGATATAACCTACCAGGCATTCTCCTCGCATACAGATACTGTGCAAATCTTTATAGGAGCACCGTGTTCCATCATGTACCAATCTTTTCATATACACCACATCATTAGTCTCCTTGGACTCGCAGTAGAGATGGCATCTTTCTTTAGCTATAAGGGAAAATATTTGGGTAATTTATTTTCTTATTATGGAATTTTGTAAATGTTGATTCAATGGAGGTTTTGTGGTGAGGTCAAAAATTTTAAGCAACTTGTCCAAAGAGAGAAATTTAGAGCCATATTCTAGAAACTGGAATTATACTTCGAACCAAATATTTAATAGGGAATATTTGTAGTTTGTATGAGTTTCCCCACTTCATCCTCATCAGTATAGCTTCTATTTCAGAGTTCCTAGTTAGCAGAATCACAAAACCATCTTGGGGATAGATTTGGGAATTGAATATCCCTGCATGGCATGAAGTGAGAGAAAGTGATTCTACCATCTTAATGAATCGACCCTTAAAATACAATTCTATAAAAATGTTTCATTTGCTATTACAGTCAATCATGCATAACATATACCTTAATTCAATTAAAGTACAATGGATAAATTGAGTGATTCTGCAGCCTAAATAATTCCTACTATGAAGTGCATACTCATCTGTCTGAAAATATGCTCTCCTCTGAAGAGAAACTAGAAACACTTGACAGTATGATAGGAGATAAGGATGGGCAACTATGGCCCCTTTACAATCTGTGCAGGGGTGGGTTCTACTTACCTTTACTACTGGTTCGCAACAGGAAGAAGCTTCTGCGCGTGTGCAGATCACCAATGATGACATCCGGGGAGGTGGGTGGGGCCTCCTGCCCATTTTACTACCGGTTCTTGCGAACCAGTCTGAACCGGGGGCAACCCACCACTGAATCTGTGGCTTTTAACTCCCAGAATTCCTAAGACAGCATGGCTGGCTAGGAATTCTGGGAGTTGAAGCCCATAGGTTGTGAAGGGGGCCTAGTTGTCCATCCCTGATCTGAGGGTTAATGCTAATGAACTGCAGTATTTCTGCATACAGGACATTCCAGTTTTTGAAACTGGGCAGAGTTATCCTGGTCTGCTCTGCTAAGGATGAAATGAAAAAGATAAATTGTGCGAACCATCAGTATGTTCATATGGAAGCCAGTGATGCTTCATATTCTGATATTCAAAAACGGGATCCCACTGCCTGCACTGCTCCTCTCTGAAGTCTTCATCACCATCAGGACAATCTTCACTATTGCATAGCTGAAACTCATAGCTTGGTCCAAAACATGTGCGGCCTCCATTAGCAGGGCTAGGGAAAAGAACAAGTAATACTAATGAATGATTCTAGATCAATAATATAATAGACTGTTGCATTTTATTGGAACTGGAAGAGTGGTATCTCACCAGATATTGGATTCAAATTCCCAGGAACTCCGCTCAGAAAAGTTCAAGAATTTAAAGAACTGCAGTCCAACAATGTCTGGAATGCTACAGATTCTTTATTATAGGTAGTCGTCAACGTACGACCATAACTGAGCCCAAAATTCATGTTGCTAAGTGAGAAATTTGTTAAGTGAGTTTTGCCCCATTTGATGATTTTTATTTCCACATTTGTTAAGTGAATCACTGAATTAGTAGCAAGTGAATCTGGTTTCCCCATTGACTTTGCTTGTCAAAAGGTCGCAAGAGGGGAATCACATGACCATGGAACACTGCAACAGTCATAAATGTGAATCACTTATCAAGCATCCAAATGTAAATCACATGACCATGGGAATGCTGCAATGATCATAAGTGTGAAAAATCATCGTAAGTCACTTTTTTCAGTGCAGTCGTAACTTTGAACAGTCACTAAGTGAAGTGTTGTAAGTCGAGGACTACCTGTACTTATTTATTGTTCATTTCCAATATTAATTTCCAATGGTTTCCAAAATCTGAACACGTATGAGGTAGGAAGGCACATTCTTAGTCTCAATATCTACAATATATTCTTAGTCTCAATATCTACAATATGACCTAGTGGGATATATGGATAAATATGAAATCCTGAGCATGCACTATAAAAATGCTGAAATAGTTGTGGGTGAGATACAATGTTGATTGTATGCTTAAGAAAGAGATCCTGCAAGCAAAGCTAGGGGAGATTATCCTTTCCCTTCTGCAACCTCTACATAACCTTAAAAGACACACTGGAAATCTGGGTAGTAGACAGAGGGGACTTCTCAGTGGGAATGTGGGGAATCAAGTAAACAAAAAGAAGAAAAGATTATTTCTTAAGTATGTAGTGCAGGCTGACTCTGCCCACAGCCAGGAGTTTGACAGGCTGCCGGTTGACTCAGTCTTCCATCCTTCCAAGGTTAGTAAAATGAGGACCCAGATTGTCAGGGGCAATATGCTTACTCTGCAAACCACTTACAGAGGGCTGTAAAGCACTGTGAAGTGGTATGTAAGTTTAAGTGTATCCATTGCAGTCAACCCAACTCATGGCAGTTTTCAGCAGTTAAAAGAGATTAAGTATGACTCACTTAAGAATAGCTGGGTTTCATTCATAATCATCTTGTAGAATAGAAGAAACACCTGAATACACACGCACACATTAACTATGAAACCTTTAATGCAGCACTCAAAGTGATTATGATATTTGTCTGACAGGTTAAGAACCCAGTCCAAATTTTTCATTTATTGCTTGGATAATTGAACTTCCTAAATCTTGCTGTAATTTATTAAGGAGATTATGCATCAAATATTTATCTTATTACTTTTTAACTTACCACTGTATTTTCTCATGTTGCCTTTTGTGCTGTTTTTAGATTTTGTTACTTTACATGAAGAATACAGGGAGGGAGTGGAAAAGGCTGTTTTTCCCCTTCCCAGATAAATAGAGAGGATCTGGAGCCAGGTAAAAAAGAAAAACGGGCCTTCCCCATGCCCCCCAGGCCTTCTGGAGGCAGGAAACAGCCTGTTTCCCTACTTCTGGTGGGCCCAGAAGGCCTGAAAATCAGCTGGCCGGCAGGCGCATGTACCCCAGAGCTAAGCTGGTGTGTCCACTGATTTAGCTACGCGTGCCACCTTGGCACGCGTACCAGAGATTCGCCATCACGGGACTAGTATATGGATATTATAGGATAGGATAGGATACTATGGATATTATAGTACAGTCCTAACACAGTCTGCCACAATATTGTGTGATCTGTTCTATTTTATCTTTCCAGTAGTTTCGCAGTGAAACAAATACAAGAGCAAGGCAATGGCTATAAACTATTTATAACTTAGCTTAATCCTTAGTCAGAACTAAGCAATTTAAAAAAATAATTTGTGATAGTTTAACAACATTATTGCAAATCCATTGAAGACATCTAAACTAAAATCCATTATCAAAGGGCATAATTTGATTAAGTTCAACTTACTGTGGATTGTCACATTGGCGTGTCCGGAATTTCACTCCTGTTCCGCAAGTTCGGGAACAGGAACCAAATTTACTCCATGCTCCCCAATTTCCATCTTGCTTCAAGATATCTGGAGTTAACCAGATACAGTGACCTTTAAAACAATGCTAAAAGAGAAAAATATACAGGTATGCATATTTTTGAAATTCATCAACTTTGTTTTCTTGGCAATTGGGCCTAGGTTGAAAGGAATTGTTGTTTAAAAAGTAATACTACTCCAAAAGAAACCACTAGTTTCTCATATATGCATTTTTCATATATTATTAAAATTCAGATGTTTGAACTGCTGCCATTGAAAAAAAATGCTGCTAGAGTTTGATACTTTGCTTTTGATTTGGTCCATTGCACGTCAGTTCATACCTACCCATCTGTAACCCAGATATAGCTTCCTCAGTTATGTAGCTGAATCTTCAGAAGGAAAAATAAAATAAAACCTGCCCCTATTGTACTATGTTAGTTCCCTGGGTAGACCTAGAGGACTGCAGGGAGACAAATGTGCTAATGGAGCAACAATAAAATGGAGACAGAAGAAAGTGATCTTCTTATTCAAAATTCACACTTTCTTTTCCCAAATTTTCAAAGCAGGTTGCCAGTTCAAAAGCACATCCTAGGGAAACATGTGAAAAGTGTAGTACAGGTAGTCCTTGACTTACAACCACAATTGAGCCCAAAATTTATGCTGCTAAGGGGAAAATTTGTTAAGTGTTTTGTTTGTTATAAAATTTGTTATGAGTTTTGTCTCATTTTACGACTTTTCTTGCCACAGTTGTTAAGTGAATCAAAACACGGATGTAAAATTTGCGACCTTCGACATTGACTTGTCAGAAGGTCACAAAAGGGGATCACATGACCCCAGGACACTGCAACCATAATGAATGTGAGTCAATTGCCAAGGATCTGAATTTTGGTCATGTAACCATGGGGATGCTGCAACGGTCATAAGTGTGAAAAATGGTCATAAATCAGTTTTTTCAGTGCCCTTACAACTTCTAATGGTCACTAAACTGACTGTTGTAAATCATGGATTACATTTATTTATTTATTTGTTTGTTTGTTTTCTGCCTTTATTATTTTTATAAATATGAAGGTAGCTAACATATCCAACACACTTTCCTCCTCCTATTTTCCCCACAAAAACCACCCTGTGAGGTGAGCTGGGCTGAGAGAGAATGACTGACCCAAAGTCATCCAGTTAATTTTCATGTCTAAGGTAGGAATAGAACTCATGTTCTCCTTCAAAAATAATGTTAAAATGCATTATTTGTTTTACAATCAATTAAAAATTGAATCTAACAACCAAAATCACAAATGTAAATATTTCTCTTTGGAGAAACATAAGCTAAATAATTCCCAAGTTTAATGGCAACAAAAATTGAAAGTAAATATTGATGACCCTAACCTGGCAGATTAACAAAAATAAGAATCTGAGAAAAGCCAAAATTAATATATCACTATAATTGTTACACAAGACAGGTATTTATTGTTTTTCTACACGCAATAGGCAAGTTTTCGGAGAAACACCCGAAATTGATGTGGTCCATTGTATTCACAATAATATCAAACAGAGACAGCTAAACCCACATTACATCAGTAGAATACAATGTTGCTCCCCACCCTACACAAATAGATTTTATTTAATTAAAATTAGAGTGGTAATGTTTCAACAGCTGAAATCTACAGTTCTTTCTCAGTTATGATTTATAAACGAAATTCTGAACAATTTAATTGCAGGGCTGAAGAAAAGCTTTTACAACAGCAAGTAAGAAAAAGGGCTTTAGCTAACATGTGCTTATAGTAAGCAGCAGGAAAGGAATATTTCTTTGTATGGTAACACTGATGGCCTCAGAAAACATTAGAAGCAATAATTATTTTGATAGTTCTATGAAGTATGTGAACATATAGAAACAGTAGTTTAAAAAACACAAACAAAATGAACCTCAATAGCTACCTGAACTCAACATTTTGGTAAAGAGAAAAACACAGTAAGGCCAATGCTAAGTAGTCCCCTCATCATAGGCTCTATTTACATCTATGTGTGTTTTGAGTGCTACATCTTTAAATCCCTTGCTTTTTTTTTTTTTTTTTTTGCTATGGCAGGAAACCCTATATTGATTGATTGTTTTTCTGAAGCTGCTTTCTTTGACCATAGCTCCATTAAAATGAATTTCTAGAAAGGGGTTCTAGAATGGGTTTCCAAAGAAAAATGTGCCCCCTTTGCCTGAGAAAAAAGAGAAAAGAAAAAAACAATCAAGATTCCTTTGGCTTGTGGAACAGAATTCAGAAACCTAGGAAAGTGAATCTACCTACAGTATATTTGTATCTGTATCTATCTGTATCTTTATCTCTGTCTGTCTGTCTGTCTATCTTTTATCTTTCTCTCTCTCTCTCTCTGTCCCTCTCTCTCTCTGTCTCTCCCTCCCTCTCTCTATCTCAAATGTATATAGCCACCATACAACCACTTTTATAATTTTTAAAATTATATATAATTTTTACGTTTTTATTATTAATAATAAAATAATAGTAGCTATATAAATCTTTTAAATATATACCAAAGAAGAGTCTAATGCTGGGAACGATTGAGGCAAAAGAAGAAGGAGATGACAGAGAATGAGGTGACTGGATGGAGTCACTGAAGCAGTAGGCATGAGCTTAAATGGACTCCAGAGGATGGTAGAGGACAGGAAGGCCTGGAGGAACGTTGTCCATGGGGTTGCGATGGGTCAGACACATCTTTGCAACTAACAACAGCAACAAAAGCTACACCTAATATGTTAAGTCTCCAGTTGTCTGCAAGCTTCCTCCTTCCTGGCCATAGTTTATATGGCTAGGATTGATCAAAATTGTATCCCAATCCCTTTGGCACTATGATATTGGGGAAGGCTTACTGTGTTACAAACCCATCTACATGAACCTTCTCTAAGAAAATATGAAGCTAGAAATACTTTCATAATATACTATCACTGCTTTATACCCGGATGTAATTGTAGGTCCTGGGCATGAATGGTTTGTCAGTATAAGAATCTGGGTATAAAGACACACGCACAGATGGTTATACACAATCATTCCCTAACTTTTTCTAATAATCATTTCCATAACAAATGTGGTGCCACTCGATCAGCCTTCAATTCTAGGCTTTTGGCAGGAACTGTATGTGAAACACATGGCTAAACAAACACCCACCACCAGCAAAAACAGAGAAGGATGCATAATACAAAATGTGTTTTAAACAGAGAATGAAGAATACTTTAGCAAGGAATCAAGTAAAAATGTCCTGAATACCTCATAAAAGCAGGAGAAAAGACCATAATTTGTAGACCTGCTACACAGAAAACATTATTAATGATTTGGATGATCAACAGATAACTAAAGTCAAGAATCTCTTCAATGTAATAGCCTAGGTCAAGATATGTTTGCATTATCACATGACTTTAAATTATGAAAACCAGAAGTGGGTAATTGAAGAGGAATCTGAAAATAAATCTGCTATGGGTTAAATCTGCTCTAGGTTGTGTGCTTAGTGAGTTCATTTTTTCTAACAATTACTAATTTGCATCATGACTCTGAATTTATTGAGGAGAAGTTGCATATATTTAAATATTTGTTACAGTTGAATCAGAACAGCTTCAGAACAGCAGTCCAACATGTGCTTGCTTCTCTCACTGAAACCAGTACTGTCTTGGATAAGGTTGAATGTAGGGGTGAAATTCAGTTACCTTCCCTTCTGGTTCACAAATGTGCATGCGCCACACAGACATTCACTTCACTCGCACATACATCCGCACATGCACAAAGCCTTCTGCACATGTGCAGAGCAGTAGTGGGTTGCCCCTGGTTCGCACCGGTTCTAGAGACCCAATAGTAAAACCGGCGGGAAGCTCCACCCACCGACCCCGACGTCATCAAAACGCTTCTGCGCATGCGCAGAAGAGCAGGCACGCGGGCCCACTGCGAACCAGTAGTAAAGGTAAGTAGAACCCACCCCTTGCGCAGAGGCTTAAAATGTCACAAAAAAGCGACGTCATGACGTCTGCGCAGGTGGGCAGAGCCTCCCGCAGCCACCACTAATGGTTCGCCCGAGCCAGATAGAACCAGCTGCATTCAACCCTTGGTTGAATGTTTCAGCCACAAAGTTTTATGGAATTATATGTTATTGGAACATTTAATAATATTTCCAAATGAGTTTATTCATTACTGATAATGAATATATATATGATTTGTAGCTGTTACAGTCAAAATAGACTTCTATCAGTTTACATACATCTGTAAAAATAACAACAAAATATCCACAAAATGCAAAAATAGCCAACAAATAGACATAACACATTAACAGTTATAAAAATCACATAAGCCATCAAAACCAATGGCTCCAACTCCTCCTGCTTTTCCCTACCTCCACTCACTGGAAATACATATAGATGTTTTAATTTTTTTTCTTGCAAATCACTGAAAGTCATGGGATTATGGCAAGCTATAAATTCAAAATAACCCCAACACTGGCCATGAAAAGTCAATACTTGATTTTCAGTGTTCTAATACTTGAGGATTGCCACAAGGAAAAGGGGATCAATCTATTCTCCAAAGCACCTGAAGGCAGGACAAGAAGCACTAATCAACGACAGAAGTAAGGTAGAAGTAAGGAGAACAATTAACCAGTGGCTTGCCTTCAGAAGTTGCAGGTGCTGCATCACTGGAGATTTTTAAGAAAAGATTGGACAGCCATTTGTCTGAAATGGTATAGGGGCTCCTGCTTGGGCATGGGGTTGGACTAGAAAACCTCCAAGATCCCTTCTAAGTCTGTTATTCTGTTAAAATATTTCTTTGACAATGTGCTATGCTAATCTATCACAATAGCCAACCTGGATCTAAACGAAGTTGTTGGACAACAGTTCACTGACACAATTAACGAGTTGATGTAATGACACTTTGCCTCCCAAATGCCGCCATGTAAACTCACGCTTGCACATGTAGCTAGACTCCGTAAGATTTCTTTTTTTATTTTACTCCATTGGCCCTAGAGCTGTTACCTCCTTTGATTCCTTGAGATCCTCAGTAAATCAAGATCCCAATTGGGATCAACCATTACAAATGAAGGCAAATTATTCATATT